CAGGTCTGCTTCGTTCAGCAACAGAATGAACACTACAAGCTGAGAGTGGCTGAAAGACGCCGGTGAGGAACAGCAGACCAGCGTCCAACACGTCTCCGTGCTCAGCATTCATACTGCACTCTGAAGAACACATTCATTTGCGTGATGCTGTTGTGAACGACGGTGCGACAACAACCGTTGGAAGATTAACGATTTTTCCATCCAACATATGCCGGCAGTCGGGGACCGATTTCAACACAGTATCCATTTACTTTTCGAGATGGTGCCGGTGAATATCACATAAACGTTAGGATGATAAATCCGGTCAGTGACGAGGTAACGCACGTGAAATGCAGCTCAATGAACTATTACTCCTACCGACTTTTGATTCGACAAAGTGTAAGTAATCCCCCTTTTGAAAAGCCGTCAGTTGTTTCACCACTGCATTGTGGATATGTATACAAAAAATGAAACAGAATGCCTGCCTTTCATTCGCTTGAATCAGACCAAGCTGCGCTCTGAAGAGTGTATTCATTTGCATGATGCAGTTTTAAACGATGGTAATAGAGATAACGTTGTAAGACTAACAATTTTGTCATCCACATATACAGACAGTTCACATCATATGTTCGAGTACGCTCGAGGTGCGATTGCTTACGTTTGTCAGTACGGTCAGTACGGGCGTCCGGACCTACTCATTACATTCACATGCAATCCAGCTTGGGGAGGATACTTATCAGCTTTTACTTCCTGGGCTATCGCTGATGAATAGGTATGACATCACAGCACGTATTTTCAGGAAGAAACTGCAATCGCTGATGAACTTCATGGCCAAACACGAGGTGGTTGGGTCTGTGCGCCGCTGGATGTATTAGCTGGAACGGCAAACGAGGGGACTGCCCCATGCACATGTATTGATCTGACTCTATAACAAGATCACTTCCAACGAAATCGGCGATGCCATATGCGCGGAATTACCTGACGGCGACGTCGATAATGGTTTGCATGAAGTTGTGACGAAGAATATGATACATGAACCGTGAGGTGCACTGAATCCTAATTCTCCCCCCCCTCCACCCCCGGCATGACAGACGGAAAATGCTCTCAGAGATATACTCGGGCATTCGCATGCAATACAGTTACCGGTAGTGACGGAAGTCCCTTACACCGAAGACGATCAGCGGAAGACGTCGGCAAGTTGGCAACCGTACGAATGCCAATCGGTGACATACAAGACGGTAACCGCTGGGTTGTTTCACATTCGCCTTTGCCTTTAGAAGCAAACGAATTTCAGATGAACGTGCAAAACTGCAATTCCGGGAAATTAATTAGGTACATTTGTAAGTACGTGAATAAAGGCAGCGAGATGGCCGTTTTCGGCCTCCAACACGAAAGGAGATAAAGGGATGCGAACATACAACTCGATGAAATAGCACAGTATTGAGCTGGAAGATGCGTCAACAGCAACAAAGCCGTGCGTCGGATTCTTTCATTCCCCATCCATGAGCGAAGTCCGGGTATTGTTCACTTGCATTACAGTTAGAGAATGGGCATTGCGTTTACTTTACAGCTGCAAATATGCAACAGGTTGCCTTAGGTCCACCGGCAACAACATTAACCGCGTTCTCTACGTTAAGCCAAACTGACGCGTTTGCAAAAACACTGCCGTACTCGGACGTGCCTACGTACTACTCAGGGAATGTGTGTAGAAATTCATCCGAACGACGCAAACGAGGAGAGCGAGTGAATGGACACCCCGGCATACTCAAGGAACTGCGATAGGCAGACTGCAAACCGTGCATCCCAATGTTGGTGTTGGTGAATGTGCCCGGTCCAACGACTTTCCAGCAATTGAAATCTGTCAACGGCGTTACGCAAGCCACTTTCAGCAGTGCGTGTCAGGCTCTTCAGTTACTGGAGAACGATCAACAGTGGGACGTATGTATTAATGACGCCTTCAACACGTCCCACCCAGATCATTCATGAATTGTTTGCAGTCATATTGACCGCATTCATTCCTCATCTCCAGCAGTTTTACGGGAGAAATCTAAATCCTACATGGCTAAAGATATCTTCCTTCAACTATGCAAGACAAATTCAAATGTGGCTTGCACAGCAGGAATATACAGCGAGGCGTTAATATGTCCGTAGAAATCGCGAACAAAGTTCATAATCAACTGGGAATGTTACCGCAAACCCAATCTGCTGCTGCTTCGTTAGATGTGGATTGGCGCCATGAGCAAAAATAAAACACGGCTCAACTTCCGCCATGCTTGCAATCAAACATACCTAAGCTAAGACTGGAGCAGAATGACATTTACGACCGAATAATGCGGAATGTCAATAACGGGGTTTGAAGAATCTTCCTCCTAGATGCGCCAGGAGGGACTGGCAAAACGTTCCTACTACGACCGATTCTGACAGAAATTCGATCCAATAAATGACATAGCCCTAGAACTTGCATCCCCGGGAATAGCTGCAACTCTGCTACCTGGCAGACAAGCCGTTCATTCAGATTCGAAACTGCCTTTGAACGTGCAATTCATTGAAGCTCTCGCGTGTAACATTTCCAAGGCATCCGACGTGGCTAAAATACTGCAGACATGCAAACGTATTGTCTGGGATGAATGCACAATGACACAAAAAGGGTTCGAGGCCCTTGACCGAACACTGCAGGATTTGCGAGGAAACAGCAGACCATTTCCGATGCACTGCTACTGCTTGCAGGAGACTTCAGGCACACACTGCCTGAAATTCTCGATCGAAACCAGTGGGTGAAATAAATGCCCGCCGTCACCACTTACTTCGGAATTCTCGAGCATGACTGGGTGCAGCAAACATTTGCGCTGCCTTCGACAGCGGCTAGAACGGCAATTCCGGGTTTCGCACGCAATACATACCGCTAACCGGCAGTCTTACATTTTTCTCAGTTGTGAACGTTCCCCTTCCTCTTCCCCTTATTTCCCAATGCATCATATTGAGCCACAGCAACGCGTGGCGGGGTCGAGCTTGTAAAAAATAAAAAAGACTCATAGTTTAGAGACAAGTAATTTGTCAAAAATCGTTTGGTTACTGGCGCCTCCTGCTTTTATTTTTCGGCATTTGGGAACTTCGAAGATTGTACAGACATTATCGTCGGTTGAGATTAGACGGAAAGTAATGCTCTGTATGTTTAATTGCCCAACATTCGACCGCTGGTTTCTGCTACTTAGCTGAGATAGGCTTTAATGTGGCCACACAGTAGGCACTTTGATGGAGGGGCGCTCACCGATCGAGTTACGAAATTCACTCGTCCCGTTGTGCCTAGGGGCTCTCTCTCGAGCCCAACCAGCAGCCGCGCAGCGCGTAATATAGGTAGGATAACATTACGTAATGTTATGTGATGTTATTCTGCCTACATTGCGCGCCGCTGTGCGGTTGCTGGTTGGGCTCGAGAGAGAGCCCTAAGACAACGGAATGAGTGAATTCCAAATTACGATCGTTGAGCGCCCCTCTACCATTGTATATTCCCGATCGCAACCGACAGGACGACGAGCCCGTGGCTCAGTGGTTAAAGGCGTTAGACTTCTAACCAAAAGGTCGCGGAATCGATCCCCAGGTGTTCTACACTTCGGGGTTGGGTGAGACTGGATGTTGACGGCTAACAGGCCAGAAATTGCCACTCAATTCTCTCTTGTCCTTGTCGGTAATTTTACTCAGTTGGCATTTTCCCAACATTTTATTTGGAATGGTTGAGCAGTCAGTGATATCTTCGATGTTTACATGGTTATTTACCCTTCATTCTGCCCCTAAAACAGACCGCCCGGTAGGTGCAATGGACCAACACAGGGGGCTAGATCGGATTCCGGCAGGCGTTATTGAGAATGCGCACCCCCCCTCCCCTTCTTGTCGGTCGAAAGTCTGCCGCCAGCAGTTTTTTCTCCTGAACCCTCCAAAACATAAAAACCACCATCAACTATATTTTTATTCCTTTTCCATTGGGGTTTTTTTCACTGCTGGTCGGATTTGTGTTTAATCGCTTCCCTTGACAGTGCCTGTAAACTGGCATTAAATAAAATTATTATTATTATTATAACAAACGCCAACATTGCAGTGTGCTGGCACACCATGTGGAAGCTCACGCTGCGCCCTTTGGGATTCCTGCAGTCCCCCTATTCCTCTTGTGTAAAATCCTGGCCAGTGAGCGTTGTGGGCCAGGGGATGTGATGATACGCCTGGGCACAGATTTCCACCGTGCCAGCCCCTTGTGCCCTCTGCCGCCTCCGGTCTTCCTGACCCTGTTTTGACAGGTTGTCTGGGGGGAGGGAGGGAGGAGCAAGTGGTATGGATGCTGCTCAAGTCACCGTGCCTGCTCACACCTCGTTGCGGAGCCCACGGTGGACATCGTCAGCAGCAACTGTCGAACTGTCGTGCGCGGGTGTGTGCGTGCTCCTGAGATTATCTGAAAGGGAACTGTAGCAGCCTTTTCTCTGTCCCCTCGCTGCACTGTATACGCTCCACGGCTGCGCGCGCTAACCCTCGATCTGTCTTGCTGCAATCCCGTCCACACCACAGTCCCGGTCGATCACTTGCCACTACCCTCGTGTGCATTCAAAGCCAATCGACGCAACCTATCTCGCTGATTGATTACAAGTGCACACACGGGACGCCGCCCTTGCAGACGTGACTTTTAACAGACAGTACACAGACAAAAACAACACAACACCTTTTTGGTGGTAGCGACACGCAGAAGGCACCGAAAATTACGCTCTCCAGAATGGACGCTTATCGCTGTCACAAACATACAGCCAACTTATGGCGACCTGCCCTGTGTAAAGAATAAACATGTTCTCACAACTTCCTGACTTCTGTTACTAGTCGGAGCAAAATTATTGTATGTGCTTTAAGTTGATCTTACATTCCTGACCACTAGAAAACAAACATTCCAGGCTACCAGAGGGAACGAACTCACCCTAACAGCCATCCGTAACTACGTCGTGGGACGACTGCCTTATGTGCCGCAGGATATCAACGACCGACTGATGAGCCTGCGCCTGCCTCTTCGGGAATTCAACTTCGCTATCATCTTCACCGCCTACGCCCCACCGATGACCTACTCTGATGAAGCGAAGACAAAATTATACGAGGATGGGTACGCCCTTCTGACGTCTGTGCCGAAGGAGGACAGGATGGTTGTTCTTGGCGACTTGAACACACCTGTCAGGACAGACCGCGTTGACTGGTTTGATGAAAACGGCGCAGCCATCAGCAACCTGTTCGCCAAAAGGAAGAGGTTGCGCAGAGCCTACCTCGATTGTCCAATCGATGCGAACAAGGCGACCTCCTACCAATGTCGCCGCCTTGTGCAGAAACAACTGCGAGGAAATGCAGGACACCTGGATGGCTCACAAGGTCGGGAAAATTCAGGGGTATGGTGACCGCAGCGACATAAAGAAATCCTTCGCTGAGATCAAGACGATCTACAGCCCCCAACGGAGGGAATCGCGCCGCCTCCTAGTCCTGATGGATCAACGCTTTTGACTTAGAAGTGGCAGATTCAGAAGCGTTGTGCAGATTATCTCAGGAGCGTCCCCAACCGTTTTTCTAAATCTCCGACGCCGCCACTGACCGATTCCCCCTAGGTAGGAATCAACGTCAAACTGGACCTCTCGCTCTCCCTGCCAGAAACCATTCGCGCCGGACAACAACTCTCCAGCAGATAGGCATTAGACTCCGACGCACTTCCAGTCAAAATCTTTGAGTACGGCTGCCACCGACTGATGAGCCAGCTCACTACGCCATCCCAGGAGATGTGACGCTGCAGGCATGTTCCTCAGGATTTCAGGGACGCAAAAATAGTTCACATCTACAAGCGGAAAGTAAACTGGAAACTCTGTGAGATCCACGGAGGGATCTTGCTGCTCAGCATCACTGGGAAGAGCTTTGCTCACATCCTCCTCGACCGCCTTAACGGTCATCTAGAACAAGGACTTTCGCCAAAAAGTCAGTGTAGATTCCGGCGGCACCGCGCAAACGCCGACATGATCTTTGCCACTTGCCATCCACAAGAGAAGTGCCACGGGATGCGAACTCACTTCCGCACCACCTTCATTGGTCAGGCGAAAGTTTTCGACACGGTAAATAGCGAAGGACTGTGGAAAACCATTCAGAAATGTGACTGTCCGGGGCGCTTCACGCACATGGTACGTCAGCCTCACGACGGTACGATAGCGCGCGTCGTGGACAACGGCACAATCTCCGAGATATTCACGGTGACCAGTGGAATGAAACAGGGCTACGCCCTCACTTCCACCCCCTTCAACCTCACGTTTTATTCCATGCCGATGAAAGCCTATCATGATGAGCGTCCTGGGATAAGCATCACCTATATAATTTACAGGCAACTTCACAACAGCAGGCGCATGTAGGCATTAATGCGGCCATCGACGACCACGGTCCACGATCTGCTCTGCACCGACGACTGCGCACTCAACACCACGACCCAAGAAGACATGCAACAGAACATGGATCTCTTCACCTCCTGCTGTGTCCGCTTCGGACTGACTGTCAGTACGGACAAGACGGTGGTCATGCATCAACCCTGATCGAACGCTAAATACAACTCTCCTCGGATCACTGTCAACGGCAACGAACTCCGAACCATGGACATGTTCGCCTATCTAGAAAACGTACCCTCGCGCAGCACAAACATCCACGATTAGTTTGACCGTCGGCTCTCCAAAGCCAGCCGGCTGCATGCCTCCATGTCGACTCGTCACGGCTTTCGACAGAACACCAAGCTGAAGATGGAGAAGGCCGTCGCCTTTACGACACTCCTGTACGGAGTGGACATCTGGACCGCCCACGCAACCCATTCCAGGAAGCTCAACCATGTCCACCTCAATTGTCTTCGCAGCATACTAAGGCTGAGAGGGCAGGACAAGGTGCCATGCACGAAAGTCCTGGAAGGTACCGGAATCCTCAGCATTAACGCCATGCTGGGACAACGGCAACTCCGATTGAGCGACCACCTGCTGAGAAGATGCTCGCCTATCGAAATGCATATCGCTTCAGAGACCTGGGACTGTCTCACTTAGAACAGACCGGCTTGAAGAAGAGAAGAGAAGACTGGCGCAGCCATCTACGAAGCAAACCGGATCGCCGCCGGCACGTCAAAAGGACTGCTTGCAAGTCTCAAGCGCCTCCGATTTGTAACATCGCCACTCAATCCTACCCAACGTGCCCGTGCTGTAAACGAGCATTTTGCACGCGGATCGGCCTCGTCGACCATCTTCGAGCCCGATGTACCAATATTCCGACGACCGCAGTTGTTGCTTCCACGACCGCGCCCGCTCAAACCTCCACATCGACCACGTCGACACCCATCCTCACTAACGTTACTTCCTATGCCACAGACACATTGCCGTCGGTCACTACCGCCTCCATTATCTCTGCCGCAACTACCGTGACAATGACGAACACAGACACCTCCACTACCCACGCCAATGACCAAAACACTCCTGACACCCCGACAACCAATAAGACAATTATCATCATTGGCCCTGCCTCCAGCGATGTAGGCTCGGCCCCAACTCGTCCCCACTGCGACTGAACATTCACTCCGCATATCAACCTGGTCAGCCACTTGCGGACCCATCACACAGAGACTGGCGAACTAGTCCCTGGATCACCAAATCACACTTGCCACATCTGCTTTAATTGTCCACGTACATCCATCTCCCCACATGGGCCTACTCAGTCACTACGTGTCCATGACAGCGGAATACACCGCACTTCGCACATCTAACATCCCCAGTCCAGGAATTTCCTCATCGTCCTGCGCGCCGAACACCAAAAACACCACTACCGAAATTGACTCTGCATATTCCGACATGTCCTGCACACGCTGTCGCCGCATATTCATCTCACGCATCTGCCTGGTCGGTGACCTATGAATTCATCTCACAAAGGCTGGCGAACGAGTGCTTGAGCACCAACGTATACCGGACGCCGTTGCCCAAACTACCCTCATTGACCTCGCAATTTCATCTAACACACAGACCTCTCCAGCCCCATGCGCATCCACGAAAACCAGCGGCAGATCACCACCGGCTACACAGCACCATCATATCCTCCCCCCACCAGCACCCGCAACATACATCAACATCATCCTTTATCACACAACTCAAGCGCACCACTGGCCCCTCTCATGCAGGTAGAGAGTGTGTCTCTCTGCTCCTTCTATATGTGGCTTCTCTGATCCATGTGTGATCCGGGCCTCAGACTATCAGGCTGCGCCATGCACCGTGGCTTGGAAGGCTGCCGGATGACGCCTCACCCCAGATCACGCAGTCTGCCAGTTGAGTGTGTTTGTGTGGAGTGGTGGACTGGTGGGCTGAGAGCCAGGTTGGAACGGTTCGTTCTTAATGTGGCCTATGGCACTATCACAGACATGAGATATATGCCGCCCGACCCCTGTTGTTTGAAATCCCAAAACTTGTGTTTGGGGGGCCAGGTCGTGTATGTGGCGCGCGCAGATAAGGTCACTAGACTATGTCAGCCACCGCGCCCATTCCCCGCTCCAGTCAACTGACCGGCTCGGACAGACCCAAATACATTCACGAACAGCCTAACGAACCTACCACAAATAGAATCAATTATACATTTGGTTTAATCAGAAGTCGAGGATAGATCAAAACTCAGACTCAATTTAATTATCCGCAATATACCCCACACGGTTAACCCAACACCATTACTTCAAAAACTTATACATTCGTGTGGCCTAAACATCCGTGTATCTACCACCACAAGACTTCACTCTAGAAACAAAAATAAACCCGTCTTAGTAACCTTCTATTCACAGACCGAAGCTGAGCTTGTCCTACAAAACCCTGATTTAAACAGAAATCTGCGGAACCGAAACTCATATATAGGTGCAGATTTGACACCGATGCAAAGACGTAAACTTCAGGAAACAGACACCAGCTACAAACACGGTAATCAGCACTCCGGTCCCTCAACTGAACCTCTAGCAACAACCTCTATTTCTGGCACTAATAAAAAGAAATACACAGACCAGGGTAAACAAAATGATAAACCCACAGACCCCGTAGATGGACCTCCAGCAAGTACTTCTGATTCTAGTTCTCAGCATAAAAAACGCGTAACTGCAAAAGCAGTTAGGAATGCTGGACAGAAAGAACCAAGGGAGGCACAACAAAGCAACAACGTTCAACTGGAACAGAACAATGACGCCGATCCCGGACCCAGTCATGTGACACCACTAGATAGCAATATAATTTTTGCTACACCCCCAAAAAACGATCAACCTGTACTAGAAATCGACTGCCAAACAAGACACACAAACCAAAAGGCCTTATTAAGCACGCCAAGACAACCCAAACGCCCTAAGCATATAGATATAACAAATAGGAGTTCTCTAAACTCTAACCAGAAACAAATAAGGTTCTACAACTGTACCTCGACTGCCCAAAATCCACCTGCATGACATAGGAATAGGCCGAACCACTCTGGCATTCCAAACTTACCACCTTATGACAACCCCACAAATTACTTCGGCTTTTACACCTCCCCAACTGAAACTCCGTTTAGGTAGAATTACCACTTAGTTAACCCACCTCCCTATATGTACACTCAATCCATACACACTAATCCATGCACTCACACATACGCCATATCCTCCAAGAACCACTCACTTACCTCCGTTTAGTCCATCACTTAATCAAAGTACCCTCAGAAATCCTTTTTTTTCACCACAGTCTACCTCCTCCATATCCGACATCCTAAAGATAGCTCTTATAAATTGGAGATCGATTGTCAATAAAATATCCCAACTTAGAACTTCTGCTGAAATATATTGTGGCGGTCAAGGACGTGAGATCAACTTAAACCACGCACAATAAGTTCGTTTCGTCTAATGTCAGAAGTCAGGGAGCTGTGAGGAATAGTTTATTCTGTACACAGGGCAGGTTGCCATAAGTTGGCTGTTTGCTTGCAACAGAGATAAGCGTCCGTTCACGGAGAGCGTCCGTCGCGGTGTGTTGTTTACGCGGGAGTGAGCGTCTGTGTCAGTAGGTGGGGGTGACTGACTGAGTGCTGGTTATAAGAGTGGACGGATTAGGGGAGGATTAGGGGAAGCATAATTACAAGGGCTCACGGGTATCAAGCCAGGTCGTCCAACGCGCATGAGGTGATAATAGTTTGTGAGGGCAGCCGGGAGTCACTGCAGCTGTATAGGAGGAGCCCTAGTTCTTGCCGGTGGGGGTGGTCGTGTGTCAGCGGCCTGGCAACGATTGTCGCGGCCACCGGCCGAAAAAACGGAGCCGGAGAAAAGGGGGATTGGAACGGCGGCTACAATATAACCCCGACATAATTTGCATCACAGAAACATGGGCAAATGAACTTATATCGAATGCTT